CGAACAGGGTGGGAAAAGCTGCTTCACGCATGGCAAAAGTATGAGTTTGGGTTGGGGGGAGAAGATCTCCATCTTCTCTCCCCCCTCAATGTCTTTTTTTTCCTTTTTTTGTTTTCCCCGTTTTTTTTATTGGCTTCGCGATGTAGGGGACAGATCGAACAGGGTGGGAAAAGCTGCTTCACGCATGGCGAAAGTATGAGTTTGGTTTGGGGAGAGAAGATCTCCATCTTCTCCATCTTCTCTCCCCCCCCCCCCCCCCAATGTCTTGGTTTTATTTTTTCGTTTCCCCGTTTTTTTTTTTTGGCTTCGCGATGTAGGGGACAGATTGAACAGGGTGGGGAAAGCTGCTTCACGCATGGCGAAACTATGATCTGGGGTGGGGGGGAGAAGATCTCACTGTAATCTCTTCCCCCCCGATCTGTTTCTTTTCTTTTTTCGCCTTTTTCCTTTCGTTTTTTTTATTGGCTTCGCGATGTAGGGGACAGATCGAACAGGGTGGGAAAAGCTGCTTCATGGATGGCCAAAGTATGAGTTTGGGTTGGGGGGGAGAAGATCTCCATCTTCTCTCCCCCCCCAATGTCTTGTTTTTCTTTTTTCATTTCCCCGTTTTTTTTTTTGGCTTTGCGATGTAGGGGACGAATCGAACAGGGTGGGAAAAGCTGCTTCACGCATGGCGAAAGTATGAGTTTGGGTTTGGGGGAGAAGATCTCCATCTTCTCTCCCCTGCCCACCAATGTCTTGTTTTTTTTTTTTCGTTTCCCCGTTTTTTTTTTTTGGCTTCGCGATGTAGGGGACAGATCGAACAGGGTGGGGAAAGCTGCTTCACGCATGGCGAAACTATGATCTGGGGTGGGGGGGAGAAGATCTCACTGTAATCTCTCCCCCCCCCAATCTGTTTCTTTTTTTTTTTTGCCTTTTTCCTTTTGTTTTTTTTATTGGCTTCGCGATGTAAGGGACAGATCGAACAGGGTGCGAAAAGCTGCTTCACGCATGGCGAAAGTATGAGTTTGGGTTGGGGGGGGAAGATCTCCATCTTCTCTCCCCCCCCCCCAATGTCTTGTTTTTTTTATTAGCTTCGCGATGTAGGGGACAGATCTAACAGCATGGGAAAAGCTGCTTCATGCATGGCGAAAGTATGAGTTTGGGTTGAGGGGAGAAGATCTCCATCTTCTCTCCCCCCCTCCCAATGTCTTGTTTGTTTTTTTTTTCGTTTCCCCGTTTTTTTTTTTTTGGCTTCGCGATGTAGGGGACAGATCGAACAGGGCGGGGAAAGCTGCTTCACGCATGGCGAAA